CCCCAACCGGGTGCCCTGCCCGGCCAGGCCGCCCGGGACCTCCCCCAGGCCCCTGCCGGTCACCCGGGCGGCCCGGATCCCCACTCAGCATCACACCGGATCTTTCGGGGTTATGGAGGAGGCTTGGCAAAAATGACATGTTTGGGCCCTAGGGGCCCGCCTACACAAGAAAAAAAAGAAAAGAAAAACGAGACTGGAAGTTCGAGGTCGTACGTCAGTGAAGGCCATGAACGACCTCCGCTCACACGAAGACTTCGAATAACATATCTGCCCACTATTTGGGCAAGTTTCAGCTTGGCTTACTCGTTCTTGTTTCTCTTGTTATGTTTTGTTTTGCTAGGCAGGGCGCAATCCATGGGCTACTGCCAACGAGGCAGGGCGCAATCCACGGGCTACTGACACTAAGTCACCAACGGGACACTCACAGTAGTACTGCTGATGATGTATCTACCCGCTTTCCTGGGTATCGCGGGTACTTTCATTTTCTTTTTTTGTTTTGTTCTCTTGTGCACCTGACAGGGCCATTGTTATGCCCTCGCTGAGGCAGGTATGCTATTAAAAAGTTAAAAGAAATTCAAAAATTATTGATCATTTTATTTTTCATAAACAATTTACTAACGAATCTCGGTGTGACCCTGAGGCAAAAGTTGTGTTAACACTGTTAAGTTCATTATTAGTAATTTATTACGAAAATCCATGTGCAATGACTTGCTGATTTCTGCTGCCGAGACTGACCGCGAGGCTGTACACTAACCGTAGGGTTAGATTCGTACATTTGTTTGGCTGAGGGCTAACCGAGAGACCTGCCTGTTTGGAAATTCATGAGGGACAGATCTGCAATTCCGGGAAAATACAGGCCCGGTACTAACCGAATTCCTACAGCTACCCTAACTGCCTATAGCAGGCCCGGGCTACCCCTAGGACAGACAGGCCCTAAGCGGCCTATACTGCTATACGGTCCTATAGCCTATAGCCGGGTCCGGTAGAGGCGGTACCGGTAGGTCCAGTCAGTCCAGTCTAGGTCTAGGTTGAGTAGGAAGTCTATAAGTCCGGTAGGGAATTCGGGTAGGGACTTTTGGCAATTCATTTTTCGCATGCAGCGTTCGTGGCCAACCAAGTTTAGCTGCGCTGAATGTCTACAGCGGCACCTGAGTACTCAGCGGTGTGAGGCAGCCATAGCCAGCCCACCTGAGACAGCCATAGCTGGGGCTGTGCTCAGCGCATCTATCCCCTGGGGGTACCTGCGCCTGGCAGGACTATACAGAGGCTCTTCACTGGGTACATGTGGGTATTACTGCTGCGGTAGCAGCCAGGCAGCCATAGCTGCCTTCTTCATCGTCAGAGTGACTCATCGGCACTGAGGACTACTTCGCTATTCATGATCTGCATCTGGGTGTATGGCGCTGGCCTCTGGGAGGCTGCTTCAGTGCAGCGCCAGACTCTGAGAGTGTAGTAGTGAGTGGAGTGTGTGGTACTTGGGTGGCGAGATACTGGGTTGAACTCTGGAACGATAATTGAGGTTAACTGAGTTGAGTTGGCTCATCATCTGTGTTACGTTCCGATTGTGATCTTCGCAGTGTCATCTTGTGATTGGTTGTTGGGAGTTCTCCAGAGAGAGAGAAACACAAACACTGTGTGTATTCTCCCCATCTGTGCATGGTTGATATTCCGCTGCTTTTCTCTGGTCTGTGTGCAGGTGGACTCTGTCTCTTCCTCCCCTTTGTCTCATGCATGTATGGGCGTGTGTGAGTTCTTCTGTGTGTGAGTGGCAATCAAATTGTCAGACAAACAAGTTCATAACACATGGATCAAAGATGAAAATGGCCTCAGCTTCTCTCTCACCAAAACAGACATCAAATGGGGACATTGGATAGAGAAAGGCGTCTGGCAAGTGCAACATCGCTGGCACGAACCAACAAACAACTGGAAGACAGCAAAGGATCTGCGGAACTTACTAAAAGGGTGCCACAATTTGCAGGCCAACATCACCCACATCATCAAAAGCATACCTCTAGAATGGAGTCAGTTATTGAAGACTAATCAAAAGTGGATGTGGGGAGATTGGGCATCGAACAGAGAACAAACACAACCCACAGAAACACTTAAGAGTCACAAACAGCAACCTACAGTATAAGAACTCGATACTCTGTTCCATCCATCCCCTACAGGAACCAGGAAACCCAGCTAGTTTCATCAGCAAAGAACCAAGGGCAAAGAAGAAAGAAAGATAATGACACTGAGCAAACATCCTGGTGCAGGGTGTGCAACACCCAACTCGAAGAATCAGTCAATCATTGCTTCATAGATTGCTCAAAGACAAAGCAACTCTGGCACGATATAGAATTAACCTGGAGGCTGGAACAAACACTCCAATAAAACCATCGCGATCAACCCTGGCACCCTATTCCTAGAAGTAGATCAAAACCCACCCCTCAAAGGTTTCGAGCGTTTCTTCTTCTCACTCGTCAAAAAATCGACCCTCTGGGCTATCTGGAAAAGCGGATGCACAGCAACCTTCAAGGTTTCTAGTAATACCCCTGAAAACCCCCTCATAGCCATTAAACAGATGGTCGAAAACGAAAATACAAGCACAATGGAACACAACATACACGAAACTCCAATCCCTACAAAATGCCCGAGATAAGAAACAAGAGATCATTAATAAATTCATCTCCCTGAATCTAGGCCACGTGAAACTAGGACCAGTTGAAAGAGAAAGACTGCGCTTACAAGGCTGCTTAGTTATGCCCACATCAAATACCCCAAATCCCACCACTCCGACACAACCCACAGTAAAAAAACAACCTATCCCCCATCGCACTAAATGGAACAGATACCTCTCTATGAACTTTTTCTATCAACCCACCCTAATCACCTACCACCGCACCCCCCCCCCCCAACCACCGCTCATCA